TACCCCCCGGGAAGAAAACGAACAGCAATTTTGAACCATTGTCCCTTAGAAATTACCACGCCAGTCTAAACAAACCCACCCGCAATAAAACCGGGGAATCAAAAAAAGCCGCGAAAAACGACGCAAAATTTGTCGCGAAAAAATCACGAAAAATGAAAAGAAAATGTTTAAATGTGAATGGCACTTATCGGGTTCCGTAAGAAACGCCTTGTAGTAGAATAAATGTTACCACTAAAGCTTTGCTAAGCTGACTCGCTTTGTCGAGATCTCAGCGCTAAAACGCAATTATGATAAATTTCACCCAACAAACGATGCTGTTTGCCTTTATTTACAGAATGAAGACCAGCAACTGAAGAGAAAGAGAAAGAGAAAGCGAAAGCTTCCTTAAAGCCAGGTATGGTGTTACAATTCAATACCTTCTTTATAAAGAGGTTAGTTTCTAAAGAAATTATGCTGCTGCATCGAGGGCAGCTTTATCTTTAATCCGGAATCCGCAATCCGGGTATGGAATCACGGAAAAAGTGGGATGTAAAGTCTTATCAACAGAATCAACTCCTCTAGTCATGCAGCATTCTCCTCTGGCCAGGATATTTATTGACTTATTGTGTCTTTTTATCTGTTAAGATATTTGATTGTTATTGTTATTATTATCTTTTTTAATCTAATACATGTACCATAATAATTTAAAAAAAAACACTTTTAAGTTTGTAGAACTTGTTTCGATGTTTCAAACATCATCTTCAGCCCTATAAGGTCCAATACTAATAGCCTACAAAGATGTACAAGTAAATCAGAACATATAATAACTATCCTTATACCACTAAATGAGAAATTTCTGCAATTTGATTGGCTTAGAGCAGTGGTATTTGAGCTTAATTTGAAAGACCTACATGTGAAAATTACAAACCTTTTGTGGGTAGTAGTATTAACAAATAATAGCATGATTTGTGCGTGATATTTGGCATAAATACCACTTGTGATATTTCAAAATTGTCTCAAATTTCACTCGCCTGACGGCTCGTGACATTACGTAAAACAATTTTGAAATATCACTCATGGTATTTATGCCAAATATCACTGCAAATCATGCTATTACCTATACTAATAACATTGACTGCTTATAAATTCAAAATCCGTTACACATATTAAAGCTAGCCAATAATATGACAGAAAACTTAACAAACTACCAAGGTACATATTAATTTAAAAATGTAATGCTAAACTAACATGCTCAATTTACTTGTTTCAATCTTCAGGTTTCAATCTTCAGCGCCCCTCCTTTTTGTCGACTGAAAGTACTGTCAAGTTAAAAACTGCGTTCATATTTACGTTCATACCGTGATAATCGTTCTTTTCGAGAACTGCTGTCTGTGTTAGCACGGTTTTCTTGCAGACATTTGCACCAAATAAATTCTCTGAGTTACAAAATTTTAGAATTATCATACATTGTTTCCTTACTATCTGGCTCCTCATTGTCTAAGGGTCAACAGTACTGGCCTGTTTGCCCCGGCCTAGTTGTTCAGAAGGTGGATATGCTATCCAGTGGATAGATCTCTATCCAGTGGATAGTGCAATCGGTTTCCCAAATACTTATCCGCTGGATAGTGATTTATCCGATGGATAGCGCTATCCGACGTTTGAACAACCGGGGCCAGGAGGTTGGGGACCCCAGGTGGGTGATGTAACCTGCTTAATTGGGGTGACCTTCTTGTCTTAATTTGATTAAGTTTACGTGATAGGTGGGGTAAACATATAAGAGACAAAATGGACAGGCGGATAACCCTACCTAGGCAGGTTACCTCATCTACCTGGGGTCCCCCACCTTCATGTAAACAGACCATAAATTCTGGAATTTAGCACATCCTACTGATTATTCATTTATCTTTATGATAACAGATGACTGACTTATCCTGCTCACAAGAATAAAAAGTAATACCTTTTCTGTTTGCTTAATCCCTTGTCACATTTCAAGGCTTCATGATCAGAAAAACAACAACATCAATTGTTTTCTATTCACATACGATTTACAGTATACATTGACTTCCACCCTCATATCAGAACCCAATCAAGCGAGATGGTGGAAGGAGACACACAAGTCTAAATTAGGAGAGAACAAATATATTTACAAACAGGGCCAGCTTTCGTTAAATAAAACTTACATCATGAATTACAAGTTATTGAAATTACAACGTGATATACATAGTGATAATATATATGCCTTATTGACCAAGCTTGTTCGGAGTCTTTCAAATTAAGTTACAATTTCAACAAATTCCTTTTCGATGTTTCCGGAAATCTGACGAAGATTTTGTGGGCGAAACCAAGCTTGAACTTGCAGCAGTCAAGAGAGGTAGGAAGTGGAAAGCTTATCAATTCATACTATCGGAAATATCTTTCTATTATAAAAAGTCGTGCCACACAATCAAGTTTCCCGTCTCACACTCTTTATGCCAGAGAACTGACACAACTAGTTTTCTTAAGGAGCTAAATCTTCGATACATCTGCAGTGTCGGATCCAGACCTTGAGACAACGGAGAGCCCGGTCATCCAGACCCTTAGATAAGGGGGAGGGGGGCAGTCTCCCCCCTAATTTTTTTCGGCCCTTAAGGCCTCAATTTGGTCTAAAAATAAGTGGGGTGGGGGGGGGGGGGCCCCCCGGGGTTCCCCACCGGACTTTTTTTTTTTTTTTTGTCAACCTTTTTTTCCCCCCTCCCTTAAGGGCTTTATTTTCCCTTTTTTAAAACTACTACCCCTTTCTTTTTTTTTTTTTTTTTTTTTTTCTTTTTTT